GGGGGGAAGCTCCCTTGTTGCAGCTTTCATGGAGTGGGATCTCTAGTGCATTTACCGTAAATGCGAAGCACTCGCAAGGCTCCTAAAAAACTTGGACAAATGAGCCAAAAAATGATTCGATTGTAGAGAATCCTGAAGTCGTTCACATCGATTCCGGCACTCTATTTTTCCTACCGCGTTTTTGTACACGAAAACAAACTACCGCTAGCATTTTGCAGCATCACGGTAAGTTTAGCAGGTTGACTCCTAAGGCTATTCAAGAAACCAATTGTTTAGACGCCACTCTCACTATACTGGCTGCTAGAAGCCATCGCAACGTTTGTCACTCTCGATCTAGCTGACATCGTTCTGTAAGTTCATAGATTCTGGTCGAGGCCTAAAACTTCTGATTGCATTTTTTCGCAGGTACGTTGCTTTGAAAGTTTGTTTGATTGAAGTCCTTCGTGTGAAAATCGCAGAAAAATACGAATCTGATCATGAGCCTACAGAAAAAGTAGTTTCTAGTGCTCATAATGCTCTTCCTTGCAGTAAGATGGTCATGGATCTAACGCAAAGTGAAGCGTCCCAGGAGGTTTGTGTGAAGTATTCTAAATTTATCTCCCAAATTTTTTGAAGGAATCCATGTTTAGAATGCGACAGTATATCACACAATCAAACCCCCCACGCATAATTCCTGGAAAACGATAACAAATACCGTATCAATGGAGATAAGCAGTGAGCCCATCAGTCGATCGGCTACAGATAGTCCGAGATCTGGCGATCGCGATGAAACGAGAAGTTTGCTTCAATCAGTCTCTACTTGCCGTACACAAGGGGATTCATCTGGTAGTAAAACACTCCAAAGTGCTGTAGCAAATGATCGCGGCGATTGGCGTGCGATGCACATAGAAAGGTTTTCGGCATCTACATTCACCAGTGGAGAAGCTCGAGATGGAAAGGTATGAGTTATCTATCAGGTTGGAAAGAAAGCTTCGGACATTTTCAGAATAAATCTTGTAATTCCGAGTAATGCACGTACATGCGCGAAAATTCTGCAACTGTCTCTTTCTCGCCTGTGGGATACTTAGGCGAATGGGACCATGAAGCTAATGGGGGCGGAGTTTGCCACTTTTCAATTACCTCACTTTCTTGTTGTTTGAGCTCGAATTCGATACAAACTGTGCATGTAAGTATGTACAAATAAGAGTTTCATAAGGTTTATAGAAATTGGAGATCTGGGTTTGGGTCACAATCCTATGCTTTATTTTTCCTGAATTGTGAAAAACATTGATATTTGTGCTTACCATAATTCGTAGTTTGCTTTTTTCAATGCTGTGCAGCTTGCCCCAATCAGTGCTTAAATCGAAATAAAAACTTTTCGGAATTGCAATGTTCTTGCACTTTTTCTAACCTAATACATGTATATCACTTTTTTGAAACACAAGGTCCCCTTATGAAAAAGTTAAAAATCGAGAGACAACCCAGGTCTCAAACGTTTGTCATCAAGAGAGACAAATGTTTTCATTACTATTACTTACTGCAGTAGCATGAGTCTTGTGGAATGAGAGCTAAGCAGAATCGTGCAGGTACTTCTCTTGGATGCCTAACCGCGTCAATTTCTAAACAACTCATTTCCTTACATAAATGAGTGTCCAAGGTCTTTTTTCAACTTTGTTCATCTCAAGTTCAGTACCACCGTGTTGATCAACTAAGCTGAGGCTTTAATGTGCAAGCGCACTATGTCGACTCCATCGGCGGGGACCGAGGGGACCTTCTCTGCCATTTCAAACAGGATCAAAAAATAACAGTACATGCTTGTCTTGGTGTTCTCCATCTTTTGTCACCAAGACTCACGTAGAAGCTACAGGGGTTTATCTCGATGTCGCTGAACCGCACCCCATGACTTCCAAGGGCCATCTACTGGTTTTTCACTAGGTTCTTTCTCCCATCAATTATCAGTGGTATGAGCCATAAAGAGGTTACTCGACCGCTCTGTTGTTGTGAAGAAAAATGTCTCATGGGTGATGTACGCCCAAAAAATCACTCAGCAACGATATGTATAGTAATGTAATGTGAATTTGCAAAAAATCTTCTAACTTTTCCGAACTATGAATTTTTCCACGATCATGTAATATAAAATACTGTTTAAGCAGCTTTATTCAGATGGACTTGGAAGAAGAGTACGATGGTGTGGCTGATGAAAGTGATCTTATCACAAATCCCATGTTCAAGGTTGTATCTTGCTTGTCCCATCTTCTTATCTCGAATAGATTTATAAGATTTAATAATGAAAAGTACAACGCCACAAAACAACGAGTGGAAAAATGTTTGCTGTTCAAGCTTTTATCAATCCGTTTTCATTGTATTGCGCTGTATACAAGGTGGCCGAAAAGGTTGGGGTAATATTTTTGTTTGCGAAATTTTTCATACAGAACGTTCCATAAAATTAAGTTTGCATAATCAAAACGAAAACATTTCGATGTGCTATTCTTACAAGACTGGGCTCCTGCACATGTAACAGACTTCAGCAGCTTTTCCTGAAGCCAATGCGTCAAAAGTTATCTGAAAAGTGTGTTCCTTGCAAACCCTTTGCAATTAGCCTTTTACGAATCGAATATCAAGACCACAGGTTTTATAGAGTACATTTTGAGGAATAAAACTGTGCTTCAAATCAGTGAATTCTTTTTTCCTTGATAGATATTACACAACATGGTGCTGACTGACAGCGCCGCAGTAACTACCAATTGATGACAGGCTCCGGAGTCCCATTTGCCGAAGGCTTTGAAAGGCGCGATTTTTGAATGTCTAAATATAGAGACTGTCTACAATTTACGGCATATTAGCTGTCAAGATAGAATGATTCCAGAAAAAGATGTATCACATATTTTAACGCCCATACTTATCGGCCACTGTGTATAACTTGAATGACAAACATTGATCAAATTATGTAAATAGAATGCTAAGGTTCCCTCTTACGCATCGACAGCACTTTGAACTGCGGAGAATAATGTTCAATTTCTAGCCCATATCAAAGCCTTTGAATAAATTCTGAGCAATCACATTACGAAAAAAGGCAAGAAAGTGCGAAGTTGGGGTAAAATTCTAGGGTACATTTAGGTGGAGTTTGCAAAATCTGAATGTAACAGAAGCAAACGAGTAGCCATGTCAAACGTATCAAAAAGGAAACTAATGTGGAAAATCAGGGTAAGTCCAAGAGAGAACTGCAGTCATTACAAAAGAATTTTACAGTCAAACTTATGGAGAACACTATCCGCACTTCCGACAGCAGGGGTGTTGGGAGCTGGAGAGCACGATCAAATCGAAATTTCAATCGCGGATAATTTTGACAAGGGCGGAAAAGTGAGAGAAACTTAATCTTTATTAGAATTCTCACACAAAGGCATATTCAGGTAGAAATTGCATATGTTTACGTCGATGATGCGACCGAGCAGTTCAACAGAAGAATTTATTCTGTGTCTCAAAAGAAGACCCATTGTCTAAACGTTGTCTTTCATTAGAAGTTCGTTGGACTTCAAATACGACTTACTCCACATGATATCGTTGACTATTCCATCAAATCCTTCGTGCTTGCTACTGCTTATAAATCGTGTGTTCGAGGAAGCTCAGTTCTTTACGAATAGAAGTCAGCAAAACCTTCTTTTCAGGCGTTAACAGTTGTAGTTTTATTTTTTAATTTGCGTTGCAGTAGCTTTGGATACAATAGCGTGGCTGATATAAAGACTAGGTAATTTGTACACGCTAACAATGACTCATGTGCATTAGAGGCAGCGTCCAGGCAAATCTGGACCTATGGGAACCTTACGTGGAAAGTAATCTTAGGACCCTAAC